AACTTCCGCCAGGTATACTCTAGGTATGCGAAGCATTTCAGACAACTTAGGTTAATTTTGTCCTCAGGATGCCACCCACCATTCAGCTAACACCCAGGTACATATTTACTGTTAAGTGAACAGGGACAGCAGGATTCTTAAGGAAACACGCCCAGTGTTTCTCGTAGTCCATGTCTGAAGCACTGTAGACGGAGGATCGAGCCCCCAGCACTCGCCCTCTACGACTTAAACAAATTTTGGGTAGCTTGTAAGGGAGATCAATAGTGATTGCTTTTTCAGCGTGTACAATGACGTGGTGGAGGCGCTGCAGCAGTGGAAGAAGGCGGGGAAGCGTCTCGTTGTGTACTCTTCAGGAAGTGTACAAGCTCAGAAGCTGCTCTTCTCACACTCCTGCCACGGAGACCTCCTTCATGTTAGTCTGTGTGTGTGTGTGTGTGTGTGTGTGTGTGTGTGTGTGTGTGTGTGTGTGGTTTTGTGTGTATGTGTGTGTGTGTGTGTGTGTATGAGAGAGAGAGAATGTTAAAAACCTGTTTTACTGCCGCTTATGACCATTATTTTAAAACTTAATTACATTTTTTCCCCATTTACGCTGCCATCGCGCGATCCCTTATGGCTGCTCACAAGCACATAGGTAGAAGATGTCAGTGGCAGCCCATGGGCTGCCACTGACATCTTCTGCCTTGCATCATAGAATTTCCCCTCCTATCTATTTCTATCTTGCAACATTGCAATTTATTATAATAAAAAAGAAGCTGTAAAGCACATGGAACATTGCAAGCTCCTGACGACGCACGAGTGTGAATGATCTTGAGTTAAGAATTTCCCTCTCCATGTGGGTTCTGCATATATATGTTACTGAGAGTATGTACTTCTCGGTACATATATAGTGTCATCATATATGTGTGAAAGGAAGCCTGTTGATCGTTCAGCACTTTGCTGCACTTTTCTGTTCGTCTCGTTATACATAACATGTAAATTTTACACTCTTCTTATTTTTCTAGATATGTTATATCGAAATACAAATGTGTAACGACACACACACCAGATTTAATTAATATACTTTAGTAGTTTAGTTCTAGCTATGATGCTGTTTTAAGGTCTCGCGACCTCAGGAAATAGAGTTATTCTCCCCTTCCTCGGATCATACTTGATTACCTACCATTACAGGACGCTATATGACCCTTCCCAGTGAGCTTTAATAATAATACTAACTCCTTTTTTCTGTGTGTGTGATGGTCAGTATTTTAGTGATCACTTCGACACCAGCGTGGGAGCCAAGGTGGAGGCAGGCAGCTACCGTACCATCCTACAGGCACTCCACTCTCCTCCTCCTGAGAAAGTTCTCTTCATCACTGACCTCGTCAAGGGTGAGCTTGGTGGGGTCACCAACCTTACCTTCATAGTTTGCTGACACCTTAATCTGAGTTACATGCTAGCAACATCAGTTTCGTGTGGGTAAGTCACATGTGCAACACCTGGCTAAGTCACATGTGCAACACCTGGCTATCTTGACTGACAGATGTTTCGTCTCTATAATAAGTTTAATAAGTACAATTCATAGGTATGAGAATGGGGACTTTTATACTAGTCATAAGAGAGAGCCAACAGTTGAAGACATTGTCATATGTGGGAGTAGATCGGACCCAGGTGGGCCACAGACACAACAATGGAGAGACAGTAGAAGTGGAGAGACGCAGCAGTGGGCGGGTCAGTGGGGAGGTTTATTGACAAATGACACTTGTCTGATACCAACCCATGGAATCTCGTACAAAAAAATATCTCCTATATTTCCCATAGGTAATTTGGGGCCCCAGTTTTGGCCCATCTAATCGCAGTGGCCCCCGCCCCAGTAACTTGTCTTCAGTGCTGCGTCTCTCCCCTGGCTCCAGTAACAGTCCCATCTTCGTGTCTGTGTATTTCAGTGGTCAAGACATTACGCCCGGCGACCCGTTTTGAATAAACATACCCGTATTTGGGATATTTAAGGACAATTTATCGGGACTAACCATTTCTAATGATTTCGGGGTGGTGGTGGTGGTCAAGGTGTTGGCGGTGGTGTGGGGTGGTGGTGGTGGGGTGGGACAAGGGGTTTTAACGGTGGTGCTGGGAGATGGTGGGGGTCAAGGGGGTTGGCGGGGGTGCTGGGGTGGTGGTGGGACAAAGAATGATGTTACTCCTCCCCGCTGACAAGGGGACTGTTTTTTTGCACCCTTATTATAAACACACACACACAACAACAACCACACACACACACACCACACCAAAACACACAACCACATACCACACACACAACCCCCCCCCCACAACAACACACACCACACACACACCAACCTCACACACCATACACAACCCCACCCACCCCCCACACCCCCCAACACACACACACACACAAACACAACAACACACCCCCACATAAACACACACAAACACACACAAACACACACAAACACACACAGACACACACACAACACACAAACACACACACAAACACACACTCAAACACACACACAAACACACACACACACACACACACATACATACACACACACACACACACACATATGCACACACACACACACACACACACACACACACACACACACACACACACACACACACACACACACACACACACAAACAAAAAAACAACAAACAAACACACACAAAACACACACACACATACAGACACACACACACATATATAGACACACACACACACATATACAGGTTTTTACACCTTCCTGTGAAGTGACCCATAACCCTTCCTTTCCCCCCCCATCTCTCTCCCCTCTCCTCTCCTCTCTCTTCCTCTCTCTCTCTCTCTTCTCATCTCTCCCCTCTCTCTCCTCTCTCTCTCTCTCTCTATCTTCTCTCTCTCTCTCTCTCCTCTCCCCTCTCTTCTCTCTCTCTCCCTCTCTTCACCTTCCTGTGAAGTGACCCTATAACCCTTCCTTCCCCCCCCATCTCTCTCCCTCTATCTCTCCTCTCTTTTCCCTCTCTCTCTCTCTCTCTCTCCCTTCTCTCATCTCTCTCTCACTCTCTCTCCTCTCTCTCTCTCTCACTCCTCTCTTCCCCTCTCTCTCTCTCTCTCTCTCTTCTCCCCTTTCTCTCATCCTCTCTCTCATCCTCTCTCTCTTCCTCTCTCTCTTCCTTTCATTCTTTCTCTCTCTCTTCCTCTCTCTCTCCCTCTCCCTCTCTCTTTTCCCTCTCTTCCTCTCTTACTCTCTCTCTTCCTTCTTTTCTCTCTCTCTCTTTTCCTTGTCACTCCCCCCTTTTCTTACCTTTCCCTCTCTCACTTTCCCCCCCCTTTTTTTCCCTTCTTTTCCCTCCTTCTAGGCTCCCCTTCTCTCTCTCCTATCTCTCACTCTCTCCCCCTTTTTCTTTTTCTTTTTCCCTCTCCCCTTCTTTCATTAAAAAAAAATGGTTGGGACTCGCAGGAATCGGGGATCAGATGAAAAGGGTACTGGTAGGGAGGAATGGATGGGGGAAACAGTGGAAAAGGATAGAGCAAGAATGGGAGAGAAAATTAGGAGAGCTTTCTGAAAAATGGAGAAAGAGCTCTCTTGAAAAGGGAAAAGATTTGGAGAAGGAGACGAAAAAATTGGGGGCACAAGTCGAAACTGCAGTACCAGGGAAAAGGGTCCTAGAATTTGAGGTAAACAGGCTGAAGCAAGTCTCAGGGTAGTGACCAGAGAAGACACACCATACGATGATGAGAGGCTGAACAGGGGGAAGGAGATATGAATTATGCAAAGGGGTCAATCAGCCTGCAAAGAAGGGCCAGGGAGTGGAAGGGAAGAGCAGATGGGTGCAGATGGAGAGGGAGATAGGTCGAATGCTGAGGCACAACCATGCTACCAAGAGCCACTGGAAAAATCAAGGGAGAAGATGACCACATACAGACAGAAACCAGAGTCACAGAGGAAGAGGAAAATGGGAGGAGAAAGGGCAAAATCAGTGATTATCCATGGGCTTCGGGAGAGAGAGGAAAGGACACACACTGAAAGACGGCAGGAAGAAAGAAAGGAGATTGAAAAAATTTCATCACGGAAATAGGGGAAGAAGACATGGATGAGATTGTAAATTTTCAGAGAATGGGGGGGTACTTGAAGGGGAGAACTGACTGATCAAGCTGATTCTCAGGACAGAAACAGGCGGAACAGGATCCTCCAAGAGAAACCACGTTGAAAAGCTCGGAAGAGTACAAGGAGGTGTTCCTAGACAGAGACAAAACAAAAACAGAGAGAAAGCAGCTTGAGGGAGAGGACAAAAAAGCGAAAGGAGCTAGGAAAGGAGACAAGGATGGAACCAGCAGAGGTCAGTCAGAGCAAACAGAGCAGCAAGGGCAAGCACACACACAACCTATCCTCAAACCCCCCACAACCTATCACACCATCCCAACACACAATACAATCCATACCCACAGTTTCCCCACCCAACCCTCAACCATAGAATCCCACAGTATGCTACCAGTCTCCCACCCCCAACGGCCCCCCCAAACCACAGTGTTGGAAAGGAAACTGAAGGTATGGGTACACAACGCTGAGGAATAACAAACAAGTGGGAGGAGTGGCACGAAAGAGTCAAAGGGGCATCACCAGACATCATAGCAATCACAGAAACCAAGCTTACAGGTATGATAACAGATGCCATCTTTCAAGGGATACCAGATCCTGAGAAAAGACAGAAGGAACAGGGGGGGTGAAGGAGTGGCATTGCTGATCAAACACCTATGGAATTTTGATGAGCTGGAGAGAGGAGACAAGCGAGAAGAAAGTGATTACATAGCGGGAACGCTTCACTCTGGTGGTCCCAAGGTGATAATTGCAGTGATTTTAAAAACCCACCACAGAACAGCAGGAGGCCAAGGCAAGAGTATGAAACGAGAGCAGTAGAGCGATGGTTGACACACTGGCTGCAGTGGTCAAAGAGCTCTGCATGCAGGCAAAGCTCCTGATCATGGGCGACTTTAACCACAAGGAGATCGAAGGGGAGAACTTGGAGCCACATGGGGGCCAAGATACATGGAGGCTAAGATGATGGAGGTGGTACTGGAAAACTTCATGTACCAACACGTAAGGGACACTACAAGAGAGAGAGGAGAGGATGAACCAGCAAGACTGGACTTAGTATTCACCTTTAGTAGTGCAGATATTGAGGACATCACATATGAAGACCCCTTGGGGCCAGCGATCATGTGGTTTTTGAGCTTCGAAAACACAGTAGAGGGTACAAGTGGGGGGGAAGCAGGAAGGGAAGGACAAATGAAACCAAACTACAGGAAAGGGGACTACACAGGAAGAGGAACTTCCTGAATGAGGTTTAGTGGGACAGAGAACTGGCAGGGAAGCCAGTTAATGAGATGAGGGAATATGTAGCAACAATGTGCAAGGAGGCTGAGGAGAGGTTGTACCCAAGGGTAACAGGAATAATGAAAAAGCCAGGATGATCCCATGGTTCACCCAAAGATGCAAGGAGGCCCCAAAACCAAGTGTACTAGGGAATGGGGAAAAAATATAGAAGGCAAAGGACCCAGGAGAATAAGGAGAGCAGTCGTAGAGCCAGAACGAATATGCACAGATAAGAAGGGAGCCCAACGTCAATATGAAAATGACATAGGCAAGCAAAAGCCAAAACTGACCGAAGCTGTTATACAGCCACATCAGGAAGAAAAACAACCGTTAAGGACCAGGGAAACAGGCTAAGGAAGGAAGGAGGAGAGACAACAAGAAATGACCGCGAAGTATGTGAGGAACTCAACAAGAGATTCAAAGAAGTGTTCACAGAGGAGACAGAAGGGGCTCAGAAAGACGAGAGGTGGGGTACACCACCATGTGCTGACACAGTAAAACACAACCGAGGAAGAAGTGAAGAGGCTTCTGAGTGAGCTAGATACCTCAAAGGCAATGGGGCCAGATAAAATCTCTCAAGGGGCCTGAGAGAGGGAGCAGAGGCGCTATGTGTACCCCTAACAACAATATTCAATACATCTATCGAAACAGAGAGATTCCTGAGGCAGGAAACAGCAAATGTGGTCCCAATCTTTAAAAAAGGAGACAGACATGAAAACACTAAACTACAGACCAGTGTCACTGACATGTATAGCATGCAAAATCATGGAAAAGATTGTCAGGGGAAGAATGGTGAACATCTAGAAAGGAATGATCTCATCACCAGCAGCCAACATGGTTTCAGAGATGGGAAATCTGTGTCACAAACCTACTGGAGTTTCTATGACATGGTGACAGCAGTAAGAAAAAGAGAGAGAGGGTGGGTGGATTGCATTTTTTTTGGACTGCAAGAAGGCTTTTGACACAGTACCACACAAGAGATTATGCAAAAAATGGAGGACCAAGCAGGGATAAACAGGGAAGGCACTGCAATGGATCAGGGAATACTTGTCAGGAAGACGCAGCGAGTAATGGAACGTGGCGAGGTGTCAGAGTGGGCACCTGTGACCAGCGGGGTCCCGCAGGGGTCAGTCCTAGGACCAGTGCTGTTTCTGGTATTTGTGAACGACATGACGGAATAAATAAACTCCGAGGTGTCCCTGTTTGCAGATGACGTAAGTTGATGAGAAGAATTCATTCGATCGAAGACCAGGCAGAACTACAAAGGATCTGGACAGGCTGCAGACCTGGCCAGCAAACTGGCCTCCCGGAGTTCAATCCCACCAAGTGCAAGTCCCTGAGGATTGGGGAAGGGGAAAGAAGAAACCCCAGACGGAGTACAAATCTAGGGGGCCAGAGACTACAAACATCACTCAAGGAAAAAGATCTTGGGGTGAGTATAACACCAGGCACATCTCCTGAAGCGCACATCAACCAAATAACTGCCGCAGCATATGGGCGCCTGCAAACCTCAGAAAAAGCATTCCGACATCTTAATAAGGAATCGTTCAGGACCCTGTAACACCGTGTACGTTAGGGCCCCTATTAGAGTATGCGGCAACCAGTTTGGAACCCACACCTAGCCAAGCATGTAAAGAAACTAGAGAAAGTGCAAAGGTTTGCAACAAGACTAGTCCCAGAGTTTAAAAAGTATGTCCTATGAGGAGAGGTTAAGGGAAATCAACCTGACGACACTGGAGGACAGGAGAGATAGGGGGGACATGATAACGACTTACAAAATACTGAGAAGAATTGACAAGGTGGACAAAGACAGGATGTTCCAGAGACTGGGCACAGCAACACGGGGACACAGTTGGAAGCTGAAGACACAGATGAATCAAAGGGATGTTAGGAAGTATTTCTTAAGCCACAGAGTAGTCAGGAAGTGGAATAGTTTGGGAAGCGATGTAGTGGAGGCAGGATCCATACATAGCTTTAAGCAGAGGTACGATAAAGCTCATGGTTCAGGGAGAGTGACCTAGTAGCGACCAGTGAAGAGGCGGGGCCAGGAGCTTGGACTCGACCCCTGCAACCTCAACTAGGTGAGTACAACTAGGTGAGTACAGTCAGTCATAGAGTAGTCAGGCCGTGGAATAGCCTAGAAAGTGACGTAGTGGAGGCGGGAACCATACATAGTGTTAAAGCGAGGTATGATAGAGCTCATGGGGCAGGGAGAGAGAGGACCTAGTAGCAATCAGCGAAGAGGCGGGGCCAGGAGCTGTGACTCGACCCCTGCAACCACAAATAGGCGAGTACAAATAGGTGAGTACATACACACATACACACACACACACACACACACACACACACACACACACACACACACACACACACACACACACACACACACACACAAGCGGTGTACCATAAGGAGTAGTATTGACCAGTTCTGTTTCCAGATGGAATTGAGTCATATATATCTCTGTTTGGTGATTATGTTAAACTGATGAGGAGAATACAAACAAACGAGGAGGGAGAAGCATGCAAATGGACCTGATCAAACTGCAGGGTTGGTCAGATAAGTGGCTGCTTGAATTCGATCCCAGCAATTGCAAGGTCATGAAGATAGGGGAAGGGGCCAGAAGACCGGAGACAGAGGATATAGCCACTGCGAATTGAGATGCGGGGCCAGGAGCTAAAACTCGACCTATGTAACTACATGTAGGTCTACCTGCCTACCCGGAGTTATAGGTGAGTATAAATATCAGAGGGGACAGATAGGCTTCCAACAATCCATGGTGGAAGAGTGTACCAGCAAGTGTTGGACACAATGAATACACACAACTAGGGAGGAGGTGAAGAAGCTGTGTGACTTAGATACCTCGAAGGTGGTGGGACCACATAATATATCTCCTTGGGTCCTGAGAGAGGGAGCAGAGGCACTCTGTGTGCCACTAACAACAATCTTTAACAAATTTATCGCAACAGGGCAAGTGCCAGAGGTGTGGAAGGCAGCAAATGTGGACCCAGTTTTTTTAGAAAGGAGACAGACAACAGCATTAAACTGCAGACCAGTGTCAGTAACATGCATAGTATGTAAAGCTATGGAGAAGATTATCAGAAGAGTGGTGGATCACCTAGAAAGGAATGGGCTCATACACGACAACCAGCACGGCTTCAAGGATGGGACAACCTGCGTTACAAACCTACTGGAGTTCTACGACAAGGTAACAAAGCAAGACTGGAGAGAGAGGGATGGGTAGATTGCATTTTCTTGGACTACACACAGGCTTTTCACAGTACTGCACAAGAGACTGACACGAAAAGTAGAGGAATAGGAAGGAATAACAGGAAAAGCACTGAAATGGATGATGGATACCTGACAGGAAGGAAACAACGAGTGATGGTCCATGACGAGGTATCAGAGTGGGCGTATGTTTGTAAATGACATGACAGAAGGACAGAGTCATGTTATCCCTGTTTGCAAACGACGTGAAACTAATGAGGAGAATGCAAGCGGACAAGGACCAGAAAAGGCTACAGAGGGATCTGGACAGGCTACAGGCCTGTCCGTCAAGCCTCACCAAGTGCAAAGTTATGAAACTTGGAGAAGGACAAAGGAGACCGCAGACAAAGGCTGCAAACCTCACTCAAGAAGTATCATTCAAGCACATCTCCTGAGGCGCACATGAATCAAATAACTGCTGCAGCATGTGCGCGTCTGGCAAACCTGAGAATAGCGTTTCAACGTCTAAATAAGGATTCATTCATGGCACTGTACACTGTGTACGTCAGGCCCGTACTGGAGTATGCAGCACCAGTATGGAACCTCTACTCGTAGGGGTATGTCCATTGTCATCAACCTGATGACACTAGAGGATAGAAGGGAAAGGGGGGGACATGATAACGATGTATAAAATTCTGAGAGGAACTGACAAGGTGGACGGGGGTAGAATGTTTCAGATAGGACATAGGAACAAGGAACCACAACTGGAAGTTGAAAACTCAGTGAGCCTTAAGGATGTTAAGGAGTATTAGCCTTAGAGTTGTCAGGTAATGGAATCTGGAGAGTGAAGTAGTGGTGACAAGATCCATATATAGCTTTAAGAAAAGGTATGATAAGGCTCCTGGTGCAGGGAGAGAGTGATCTAGTAGCGATTAGCAAAGAGGCGGGGCCAGGAGCTGTGAATCGACCCCTGCAACCACATATACTTGAGTACATATTGGTGAGCACATACACACACACACACACACACACACACACACACACACACACACACACACACACACACACACACACACACACACACACACACACACACACATTAAACACCCTCTCAGTCGTTTGCGAGTATGATATCATGGAGTCTAGCTGTGTCTCAGTAGGTCTTGCCTCTCCTGACCTTTTTGACAGTCACTGGGGTTGGTAGGTTCAAGGGCGCTGTCACACTGCTCTTCCTCCTCCCACATGCTTTCCTCAACACTATGGCAGCCTCTAGTGTTCCTGTGATAGTTCTACACTCAATATCTATCCTGGGGACGGTAGGCCAACAATTTCCCAGAGGCACATAATGGGTCCAGCGTCTGGACTCCAACATTACGTTGCCCATATTTTGCTAACGTTACTCCACTTATCTGAAGACATATTAGACAAATGCATGAATGATAATTGTTGGTGTGAGTAATATCTCTCAAATATTGGCCAGTAGGCGCTGATTTAGAAAGGCTATAGGAAAGAACTAGTTTGGAATTAGAAATGTGGACGAGTGGAACAACCTACCAAGCAGGCTGATCACAACTAACACATTGATGAGTAACACGTATGTGCAATATATATCTTCACTGATGGCGAGGTATATGTATATACATACCCAAATGTTACATATGCCTTAGTCATTAGCTCGTCGATATTGTATACCATAAATGTTACGATACGAACACCCTGAAGAGCTTCAAAAATAGCTTGGATAAATATGATTGAGAGGGGCGCCTAGCATGGCCTAGCAGGCCTACTGAACTCCTCTATTTTATGTTCTTTCCTTTTATTCTTATATTAATGTTATGACAATAATGAAATGTTTAGAAATACATTGGAAGTCGTAATTAAATGTTTACTAGCATAAATGTCTTTAGTAATGAAGATTTTACAAGTATTATAGTGTAAGAATAGAGTATGAAAAGTAGTGACAGTGAATTAGATAAGTGAAGACCTATACACATTATGAATGTTTTACTTAAGGTGTTAATAAGAGTAATATATTGAGGTTGGTGTACCGTTGTGTTGGCACAGAAGCGAGAGCAGCCGAGGAGGTGGGTATGAGGGTAGTGGTGTCAGTGAGGGAGGGCACAGTGCCTCTCTCACCACACGATCTGGAGCACTACCCTGTCATCCACTCCTTCACTCACCTCCTGAATCCACACCTCTCACCCAGCAAGCGTGCAAGTAGGGAGCAACAAAAGCCTGAGGAGGAGGAGAAGCAGAAGGAACAAGAGGAGAAGCAAGAGAAACAAGAGGAAGAGAATGCGAAAGCAGAAAAAGTGGAAGAAAAATAGATACATTAAGAGTGTAAGATTTCTAATCTCATGATTTTCATTCCATTTTTATCTCACAATTATGACCTATCACTCAACATTTCCTCCACCACCGCCACTACATCTCTCCCCACACCGCCACTACATCTCACCCCACACCGCCACTACATCTCTCCCCACACCCCCACACCGCCACTACACTCCCACACCCACACCGCCATACATCCTCCCCACCCCCCACACCGCCACTACATCTCTCCCCACACCCCACACACGCCACTACATCTCTCCCCACACCCCACACCGCCACTACATCCTCTCCCCACACCCACACCGCCACTACATCTCTCCCCACACCCCACACCGCCACTACATCTCTCCCCCACGCCCACACCGCCACTACATCTCTCCCCACCACCCCACACCGCCACTACATCTCTCCCCACACCCCACACCGCCACTACATCTCTCCCCACACACCCACACCGCCACTACATCTCTCCCCACACCCCACACCGCCACTACATCTCTCCCCACACCCCCACACCGCCACTACATCTCTCCCCACACCCCACACCGCCACTACATCTCTCCCACACCCCACACCGCCACTACATCTCTCCCCACACCCCACACCGCCACTACATCTCTCCCCACACCCCCACACCGCCACTACATCTCTCCCCACACCCCACACCGCCACTACATCTCTCCCCACACCCCCACACCGCCACTACATCTCTCCCCCACACCCCCACACCGCCACTACATCTCTCCCCACCCCCCCACACCGCCACTACATCTCTCCCCACACCCCACACCGCCACTACATCTCTCCCCACCCCCCACACCGCCACTACATCTCTCCCCACACCCCCACACCGCCACTACATCTCTCCCCACCCCCCACACCGCCACTACATCTCTCCCACACCCCCACACCGCCACTACATCTCTCCCCCCACACCCCACACCCACAAACCGCCACTACATCTCTCCCCACACCCCCACACCGCCACTACATCCTCTCCCCACACCCCACACCGCCACTACATCTCTCCCCACCCCCCACACCGCCACTACATCTCTCCCCACACCCCACACCGCCACTACATCTCTCCCCACACCCCACACCGCCACTACATCTCTCCCCACACCCCACACCGCCACTACATCTCTCCCCACACCCCACACCGCCACTACATCTCTCCCCACACCCCACACCGCCACTACATCTCTCCCCCACACCCCACACCGCCACTACATCTCTCCCCACACCCCCACACCGCCACTACATCTCTCCCCACACCCCACACCGCCACTACATCTCTCCCCACACCCCACACCGCCACTACATCTCTCCCCCACACCCCACACCGCCACTACATCTCTCCCCACACCCCACACCGCCACTACATCTCTCCCCACACCCCACACCGCCACTACATCTCTCCCCCACCCCACACCGCACTACCTCTCCCCAACCCACACCGCCACTACATCTCTCCCCACACCCCACACCGCCACTACATCTCTCCCCACACCCCACACCGCCACTACATCTCTCCCCACACCCCACACCGCCACTACATCTCTCCCACCCCCACACCGCCACTACATCTCTCCCCACACCCCACACCGCCACTACATCTCTCCCACACCCCACACCGCCACTACATCTCCCCACACCCCACACCGCCACTACATCTCTCCCCACACCCCACACCCCACACCGCCACTACATCTCTCCCCACACCCCACACCGCCACTACATCTCTCCCCACACCCCACACCGCCACTACATCTCTCCCCACACCCCACACCGCCACTACATCTCTCCCCACACCCCACACCGCCACTACATCTCTCCCCACCCCCACACACCGCCACTACATCTCTCCCCACACCCCACAACCGCCACTACATCTCTCCCCACCCCCCACACCGCCACTACATCTCTCCCCACACCCCCACACCGCCACTACATCTCTCCCCACCCCCCACACCGCCACTACATCTCTCCCCACCCCCCACACCGCCACTACATCTCTCCCCACACACCCACACCGCCACTACATCTCTCCCCACCCCCCACACCGCCACTACATCTCTCCCCACACCCCACACCGCCACTACATCTCTCCCCACACCCACCCACACCGCCACTACATCTCTCCCCACACCCCACACCGCCACTACATCTCTCCCCACACCCCACACCGCCACTACATCTCTCCCCACACCCCACACCGCCACTACATTCTCTCCCCACACCCCACACCGCCACTACATCTCTCCCCCACACCCCCACACCGCCACTACATCTCTCCCCACACCCCACACCGCCACTACATCTCTCCCCACACCCCACACCGCCACTACATCTCTCCCCACACCCCACACCGCCACTACATCTCTCCCCACACCCCACACCGCCACTACATCTCTCCCCACACCCCACACCGCCACTACATCCTCCCCACCCCACACCGCCACTACATCTCCCCCACACCCCACACGCCACTACATCTCTCCCCACACCCCACACCGCCACTACATCTCTCTCCCCACACCCCACACCGCCACTACATCTCTCCCCACACCCCACACCGCCACTACATCTCTCCCCACACCCCACACCGCCACTACATCTCTCCCCACACCCCACACCGCCACTACATCTCTCCCCACACCCCACACCGCCACTACATCTCTCCCCACACCCCACACCGCCACTACATCTCTCCCCACACCCCACACCGCCACTACATCTCTCCCCACACCCCACACCGCCACTACATCTCTCCCCCACACCCCACACCGCCACTACATCTCTCCCCACACCACACCGCCACTACATCTCTCCCCACACCGCACTACATCTCTCCCACACCCCACACCCGCCACTACATCTCTCCCCACACCCCACACCGCCACTACATCTCTCCCCACACCCCACACCGCCACTACATCTCTCCCCACACCCCACACCGCCACTACATCTCTCCCCACACCCCCACACCGCCACTACATCTCTCCCCACACCGCCACTACATCTCTCCCCACACCCCACACCGCCACTACATCTCTCCCCACACCCCCACAACCGCCACTACATCTCTCCCCACACCCCACACCGCCACTACATCACCCCACACCGCCACAACCTCTCTCCCCACAACCCACCTCCCACAATTACCACTAGCCTCCACAACAACACTTCTACCCCCCGCCCCCTCACTAGAAGTCACGGTCAATAATCAATAACAAAAATGTACAAATTACTTAATAAAGTGAGAATATTTTAACATTTCTATTACACCTGATGATGTTAATATATGTCAGTCTATCCAAATATATGCCTGACAAAATGTCTGTGTTTATCTAAATGTCTGTCTGGCGGTCCGTCTGTCTGTCTAAATGTCTGCCTGAGTATCTAAATATCTGACTCTGTCTTGTCTAAATGTCTATGTCTATCTAAATGTCTGTCTGACTGTCTGTCTATCTAAATGTCTGACTGTCTGTCTATCGGTCTGCCTGTCTGTTGGTTCATATGACTGTCGCAAACATCATCTTAGAGTGAGAAAGGTTGAAGAGGGAAATAATTATACCGCCATCACGGTAGACTTATCATGCTCTCTTCTAATTATAGGTTTACCACCACCTCTATAATATTACATATATGTAAAATAGATGAGTTATAGTGGTACTGGAGGAGAGTAAGTTATGATGACGTAACTCACTATTGACTATATTAAGTTATGATGACGTAACTCACTATTGACTATATTAAGTTATGATGACGTAACTCACTATTGACTATATTAAGTTATGATGACGTAACTCACTATTGACTATATTAAGTTATGATGACGTAACTCACTATTGACTATATTAAGTTATGATGACGTAACTCACTATTGACTATATTAAGTTATGATGACGTAACTCACTATTGACTATATTGTAACAATAATATTTGCTGCTACTACTACTACTACTACTATTACTACTGCTCCTGCTCCTGCTGTTGCTGCTGCTGTTGCTGCTGCTACTACTACTACTACTACTACTACTGCTCCTGCTCCTGCTGTTGCTGCTGCTGCTGCTGCTGCTACTACTACTACTACTACTACTACTACTACTGCTCCTGCTGTTGCTGTTGCTGCTGCTGCTGCTGCTGCTGCTGCTGCTGCTGCTGCTGCTGCTGCTGCTGCTGCTGCTGCTGCTGCTGCTACTACTACTACTACTACTACTACTACTACTACTACTACTACTACTGCTCCTGCTGTTGCTGCTGCTGCTGCTGCTGCTGCTGCTGCTGCTGCTGCTGCTGCTGCTGCTGCTGCTGCTGCTGCTGCTGCTGCTGCTGCTGCTGCTACTACTACTACTACTACTACTACTACTACTACTACTGCTCCTGCTGTTGCTGTTGCTGCTGCTGCTGCTGCTGCTGCTGCTGCTGCTGCTGCTGCTGCTGCTGCTGCTGCTGCTGCTGCTGCTACTACTACTACTACTACTACTACTACTACTACTACTACTGCTCCTGCTGTTGCTGCTGCTGCTGCTGCTGCTACTACTACTACTACTACTACTACTACTACTGCTCCTGCTCCTGCTGTTGCTGCTGCTGCTGCTACTACTACTACTACTACTACTACTACTACTACTACTACTACTACTACTGCTCCTGCTGTTGCTGCTGCTGCTGCTGCTACTACTACTACTACTACTACTACTACTACTGCTCCTGCTCCTGCTGTTGCTGCTGCTGCTGCTACTACTACTACTACTACTACTACTACTACTACTACTGCTCCTGCTCCTGCTGTTGCTGCTGCTGCTACTACTACTACTACTACTACTACTACTACTACTACTACTACTACTACTACTACTGCTCCTGCTCCTGCTGTTGCTGCTGCTGCTGCTACTACTACTACTACTACTACTACTACTACTACTACTACTGCTCCTGCTCCTGCTGTTGCTGCTGCTGCTACTACTACTACTACTACTACTACTACTACTACTACTACTACTGCTCCTGCTCCTGCTGTTGCTGCTGCTGCTGCTACTACTACTACTACTACTACTACTACTACTACTACTACTACTACTGCTGCTGCTGCTGCTGCTGCTGCTGCTGCTACTACTACTACTACTATTGCTGCTGCTGCTGCTG